GGGCGTGAAAGCATTTGGCTGAAATTCACGTCCACTAATAAGGAAACTTTAAGACTAGCACATAAACCCGAAGTATGGAAAACTTACTTTTGCGTGCTCCAGCTTCCATTTTAGAGCATCCCGCTCGTTAACAAGTTCTTGCCACTTTTTGAGATCTTCCACAATAACGACATCTTCCACCTGAAGCATAAAAAAACCTTTGCTTTACCAATAAATTCCGACCCAGTCCAGTAAAAAATCAGCTGCGTAATTGGAAATGAAAACTACGTTACCTCATCAGGAAATAATTCTTGCATGTGCTTTATCAAACTTTCGTGTTCCTTGAACTGAAAATCAATTAAGACAATCAAATATGAAAATTTCTCTCAGCAAATTTTGATGGCAACCTCATCCCCTCGGACAATGATTCCAGCTTCATGCCCCAGTTCGCGATATTTAGCAGATTTAACAGCTCATTAACGGGAGATATAAGAAAATAATTCGTTCAGAAACAACTCAACTGGGATTGATAGACTGGAGTAACTGATGAATGATTTAATATTCCGTTTAGAAAGGTATTTATAATCAACGTCGCTCGTTCTTCAGCTTTCCAAATGGGAAGCCGAGAGAGATTTGGGAAGGAGGTTCTTGCGATAGCTGATACCCGTTCATTGTGACACCGCGTTTCAGAAACTCATCGACTTGTAGGGCCGCAACCGTTGAAAATATATTTATATTCTTTTAAAAAGATAAGATTGCTTCATATGCTACTTCATCAAGTCCAGCTTGGGAATAGGGCGTGACACTCGATACACCCATGAGTAAATCACACGAATGAATTGAAACGCGAAAAAAAAGTTTTGCTATGCAAGAAACGTTACTTCCCTAGCGAAAGATTAATTCGAAGTTTGAATTCGCCAATTAATTTTCGCTTGATCACGAAAGCTTTCCGTATTTTTCCATATATTTTGGCTCAAAAATTGGACGAACTTTTATCAGTGTTCAGGCGCCCTTTTTTTTGTGTTCGACACACGTGGTAATCACAAGATCAGTCTGTCAACTTTGTTAAACTCACCACGTAAATTTCTAATTAAATTATTTCGCGTGTTCTTAGAAAACTACTCTCTAATGGATCAAGTAAGAAAACATATTTCATTTTCATCTCCACGACTTCTTTCGGTCTGTTTCGCTAACCTATCTCTTCTCCGCTTTGCGCGCAAAATACGTGTTACATCCGATCGTTACGCTCACTGTAACACAACACGCAGCATATTAGCATTTTTCTTTCCACATGTTTCTCATTCATTATTCATGACAGAGCTAAACCTTTTTTTTTTACCAGCTGCTAGTTCGCTGCAAACACATGCTGTTTCAAAATCGATTGACATTTTCAAGATCTTTTGAGAAAAATCTGGGTCATTAATGGTAAGAAAAAATGATTATATAAAAAGCGAACTAATCTGAAAGCCTTACCTTGTCTGGCAAATCTCTAACCAACACAGCGTACTGATAGCCCATCCCTTTACTAAGATACTGTTGTCGGTACACGATAAACGCTTTCCACTCCATGTACAAAAGGTAGCAGATAATCAATGTATACAGCCAGGCGGCTACAGTGTGGGCCCAAACTTTCGATGACTTTACGACGATGTTTGACAGCGCTATCTGCTCCAAGCCGCTCAGATCCCCTCCACCATAATAATTCACGGGAATCAAAACAATGATTCCGTATGGCATGAGAACTAGGGCGATCTTAAAGCAAAGCTTCATGAACCGCATGTGAACCACCGCATCAATACCCGCGTAGAGGAAAACTTCGTCATCCTTCACGGTGAAAGCGGGAAAAAGCCACGAGAAAAACGACTGGGAACGTTTTCCAGGCGCTAGCGTATCTATCAAAAGCTGCCTTGGCGCGTAAATAATTTTGTGCTTCTGTCGCAGAATGCAAAACAATATTAAACATATGAGGGCTATAATCAAGTTGAGAATAAGCGCTGAGACAAACTTGTTTGTGCTGTCTGCTACTTCACCATCCACCGTGTCGTTGCTGTTAGCGCTGTCATTCGCCATTTTCGCAACCCTGTCGTCTCGTCGCTACACCCAGATTGCAAGGTAGTGCTAACTGAATTGTACTAAATTTTATGCGTGGCTGAATAGCGCCAGCGGTCATAAATTTGATCGATCGATGAAGATCCAATAGAGTTTTCCGATTACGTGATCACGTGGAGGTTCGCGGAAGCGACTAGACAAGTTCTCACAATGGTAGACGCCCGTTGAGCGATCCAGCGAATTCTGTGTCTTTCTTCATGCTAAACAAGGTTGTTGGCGTCATTATGAATTCGTTTAAACCGATTACCGATTTTAAAAAGCACATCTATTTGTAAAAAGAAAACACTAATAAATTATTTCTGCTCGATGAACGCTTTGAGACAACAGCGTGACAGTGAAGATTTTTAATACAATCGTAATTAAATTTAATAACATGCGAAACGCAGATCTTTCCACGCGCTCCTTGACTATTAGAGAAGAAAACGTTGGCGATTCGTACGTGAATAATTATCAATCTAGATAGTTCTAAAGGGTTTCGAAGTGAAATCGTATCGTTAGGGAGTGGATTTTCTATCGCGTGACTTCACTTCAAAAGCAAAGATACTGAATTTTGTGGTAAGGTGTGTTGACAGAACCGTTGACGCATAACTAATTTGGAAGATACTAGACATATCGAATTGGCAGCAAGTTGCACGTCTGCACGGCATGGAAATGTAGATATTAGTTTATTTTTAAAAATTTGCAAACAGCTTTTTGATCATTTCTATACTAAAATAAAAAGTAATGTTTTGATCCAAAAAATATGTAGCTTATCGTAATTAAAGTTCTGTGGATGCTCATATATATTGCTCAAAAGCTTAATTTAAATTTATGAGCTGTTTACTTCAAATTGATTACATTCAAAGACTTTAACAATACTCGCTCACACCGATTTGCAAATAAAATTACGCCGTATAGACTTTAGATAAAAATTAGCACATTCAGTTTTATTCTGACATATACTAATCCCTTATTTTAATTTCGTGTTTTTACCTAATCTACCGACCAAAGTCACACTAATTCAGACCAACTTTGCGCAGTGCTAGTTTCACTTACAGCAAAACGTGTTGCGAAAGTTTATTACCCTTTTCGTTCGCCAGTTGAATCTTTCTCATTGATACGAGCCCTTCTCTTCTCCAGACTGTTAGAAATCAGTCCAACCATATTAAATTCATGCAATTCATGTAATATGTGCACACCGTAAAAGTTTTCGCGGTAAAAATTTGAAGTGCTGGCATCCCTGCCGTGTGATTTGTCATGAGTGGTACCAAAATAACCATAATAAAAATCATAATTGTAATAATAATAATAATAATAATAATACTCACCAATAATAATACTCACTAATAATAATAATAATAATACTCACCA